TAAACTGTCAGCTTGGAAGGAGCAGGACAGAGTGATTTACATCTGAACAAAAGCAATAATGATATTCTGTAATATTAACACCACAGGAAAAAGTGAAATAGTAGAAAAGAGAGGTTGTGCTTTTTCATTCAAAGTGTGTTCTCAATGTATATTGTTCACTAGACAAAAGTACCATCTGTAATGGAATCTGGGAAGAAAACCYATGAAAAAATTAGAATTTTGGCAACCTTTTAAATTAATCTTCGAGTTCAAGTCTGTTCCTCATAGAGGTAGGGACCTGATTAGGTAAGACTTTGGAAACAAGTGCTAGGAAGTAGTTAGATCTCCACAAACCTGGAGTACAAAACCTGACTTGTCTAGCGTGAAATATGGGCTGAAATTTTTAGTCACACACACTTTTTGCAAATTCTAGTGAAAATCATTAGTACTGAGTACATGAATGCCATTCTTTGTACTCTCTGCTGTTACTGAAGTCTCAGGCCTGAATGGGACTATGTTTATAGGCAGTAAGATAGTGSTGCTTAAATTATGAAAGAAAAATACGATGATGAGAAGACAGAGATTAGAAACAGAAAGTCCAAGTCAAAAATATGTTATAATGGGTATCATGCACAAAAACATGTTAGAAATAGCTGTTTCAGCCTGTTGCAGATGTCAGAGATGTTGAAGATCAAGTTGAAAGAAAGGTACTTGTTGGTACAACTTGTAAAGATTCTTCCACGGGACCAAAGCTGGAATAGATTTGAAGCTGGCTCTGGGCTAAGACTCTCCCATATCCAGTCATATAGATATAGATATAGATATAGATATAGATATAGATATAGATATAGATATAGATATAGATATAGATATAGATATAGATATAGATATAGATATAGATATAGATATAGATAGATATAGATATAGATATAGATATAGATATAGATATAGATATAGATATAGATATAGATATAGATAGATATAGATATAGATAGATATCGATATAGATATCAATATAGATATAGATATCGATATATATGTTTATTTTTTCTAAGCACAGTAAATTTAATATCTGGTAATCACCCATATTGCAGCAGGCATAAATTCAAACATGTTGGTAGATTTAATRTTCTGATTATCACTTTGAAATACATACACTGGTCTTATGTACTGGTTTAGCAAAGGGAATTAATCAGACTGTAAAMCACAGAGGATACAAATCACAAAGGACCAACTCTATCACCTTTAGTTGCCCTGGAAATGTTTGTTGAACTACCTGGATATTTTATGCTYGGATGTGCTTCATGCTCAGATCTGGAGAGTTACTATATTCTGTATTAACAGTAATTTCAAAAAGAGATATATTTAGATGCAACAATTTTGGATTAGATCTCCTTAATTTCTGTCTCAGTTTGACAAACACACTCAGCACACACACAGAAGTAAGGAAATGAAAGAATCCCCCAGCCCCCAAACCAAAAGCCACAGACTGGGAGTAAATACTTGTCAGARCAGAGAAATTATCAGAAGTACTTAATTTCTGAGATTCTTGGTGAATCCTACAGAGTAATTTACAATTAAAATGAAGAAACTGTAAGAAGCTGTATCTTATGTTTGATTGTGGGGGAAAAAAATTCTGTAATTTCTAAATGCTTAGACTCCATTTTTGATTGCCTAAACCAGCAATTTTTCCAGCCTCAGATAACTGAATTTAAAAAAGCATAATGATTTTGATCATTATTTTAATTAAGTRTAGAAAATAAGCATTGAAATATCATAGCAAGGTAAGGTTTTATTGCAGCAATTTTATAAGTTTCACCTGTAAGAGCTGGGGCTGGGATTTGGAGGTGGGGCTGTGCACTGACAGCGTCGTGAGTGCAGTGACAGCCAACCATACATGCCCATTGTTTTGCATCATTAGCACTGTAGTGAATCTCAGAAAAAAAAAAGAAAATGTCCAGTCTTTTTTATTACTTCACTTTTTTTCGCCTTTTTTATTTTTTCTTTATAAAGCACCTAATTTAGGCCACAGACAAAAAGAAAATGTATCTTGAATATGCATCACAGGTTCCAAAAATGAAAAGAAATTGGATTTGGATAGCACTTACTCAATAGACAGATATGATACATGGTAAGAAGGTGCACTGTCTGCCCTGTGATAGATTAAACTACTTTGTAGGAAAATTACTGTGAGCCAGTCACCACCACCACCGTGGCTAAATCTTTAATAAAATTCTCTTCCATATTCAAGAGCGAGGTATGAAGTACACAATAAGCAGAGTGGAGTAGAGTGCCATTTATCAAACCACAGCTAGGTCTGTAATCTTCTGCTTTATCCTTTTTTAGTACTTTATTTGTCTTTATTGTTGCAAGGAAGCACATTTACCCAGGGCAGTGGGCTTTTGGTGCTGATAAACCTTTTGTTTTAAATTCTACCTGTGGGGTATTTTCTTATTTCTTTTTTTCTCTCTTTTTTTTTTTTTATTATTTTTTTTTTTTTTTTTTTTTTTTTTTTTTTTTTTTTTTTTTTCCTTGATCAGATAACCATCCGGTCACTCTATGGGAGTAATTAGTCTGTTTTGGTGGTCCCTGGCTTGTTACATATTCTTTCACCCTTCCTTGCCTGACCTGACCCWATCTCTCTTGTCTCTATGCTACAAAAAAAGAAAAGAAAAAAAAAGGATACTATAACATCTAAGACATTTAAAAAAGAATACTCAAGCCTGTGCAGAAGATGGTCTGGGGTGTATTGCATAATGCGTTTTTGAGGATATTTGGCAAGATGGCAGTGTTGAAGCATGTTGCAGTTGGCCCCTGGGTGGCACTACATGGCTAGATCTGGGACCAACAACAACAGTTTTGGATAAAGGCAGAAAACATAATTGAAGCATTTTTCTTAGCATTTTCCTTTTTAAAAATTAAAGAATTTAACTAAATTTGTTGATATTTGCTGAATTCAACACAGATTCTCAATATTATTAAACTGTGTTCCTCTAATTGGATGACATTCCAAAATATTCCATGTATCTTGACTACCTTGTAATATCTGGATCATTTTTGGGTACATGCTGATATCAAGTGCGGATTCAGTGGAAGGGTCCTGTGGGTAGAAGTATGTGACTGGAACTGCTTTGTGCTGCCTGAATATGCATACTACCAGTCTGTGCTGCAGCCCTGGGGGTGATTTTTTTAGTACTATTATAACCCTTTTTATTGTTTGAATAGCAGTTTTATGACAAAACATTTATATTCAGCCTGCCTTTGTACTTGACTGAAAGAGAGCAATCACTGAGAATGATAAGGCAACAATGGTAATGATAACTGCATTTATGGAGGCTTACAGAATTTAAACGGGCATGCAAAAATAGACTTACAATAGTGCTCTACCTGTATTTGAACTGGCTGGGGTATATTTCTTGTGCCTGGCCCGTGTTTGATTGTTGGTGGATATGTTGGGTTTTCTCCTGTTTTTCTCTCCTATGGCATTTCTTCTGTATGAACCTTACCTGTGTGTACATCAGGTTTATCTTAGCACTGAAAGATGTTTTAGTAAGATGGAGGAACATAACCTCAAGATTCACTTCCCTAAAATTATCTCAAGAAATATAGGCAATTCTTTCACTCTCCCTTGAGAATAAGTGAGGAATAGCACTGGACATTGGAAAGCAATCCAAGAGTTTGAAAACAGTCCTTCTGTGGCCTGAATATTTTAGAGCCAAATCAATTCCAATATTTCTTTCCTTTGCTATGAGGCATTCTCTCTGTTGAGGTTCACTCAGACACATCCACATGGACACACGCRCCCATTTGTGTATTTCCTTAAATTTCCTGCTTATCGAAGAACTCAGGAAAACAATGAGAAGGTTGGCTGTGTTCTGGAAGGAGCCAAACAGTTCCTGATCTCCAAATATTGTGAGGGGAATTATGCCAAAGCCTATGTATATTTTAGTGTGGATTATGAAGTAAGAAGATGTGTACTATACATTGTCATAAAGATTTTTTAAGGCTGCATTCAGCCACACTGCTCACAGACTGCAAAGTGGGCTTACCAATGTTAGAGGATTTCTCTCCAAGGAAGAGACTGTTYTCATCAAGTCAGAATGAAAGATTCAGCCTACCCTTTTTCAATATTATTTTTCAGTATTTTGTAATCATTTTGTTAGGAAGCTATTTTATATAAAAAMATCTTTCTATAAACCAAACCAATGTATATTTTTATGGAAGTGRATGACCATTTTTAAAGACCTTTTAAATTTTGAGGCATAAATTTAGATTTTATTATTCTTGAGAGGGGGGAATCTCACTACAGCCCAATTTCTTTCGTACTATAGTTTTCCGTTATATAATTTTACTTCTTTCTTCACCTGTATGTCAATTTTTCTGTACTTACCCATCCATTATAAGTTTACAGTATATAACACCTGGGTGGCAAAAATTTGTAAAAACTTGCAGTCTATAAATTTACAAAGAAAAAAATTAGTTGCTAAAAACAACTAATATAATAACAATATATCTTTTATTTTATGTGTACAATTTTGTTATTTTGGAAGCTCCCTAACTCCACTCCATTTTTTAATGTATGTATCTGATCATTGCATGTTAACCTCTTCATGTGCTCCTGTCTCTGCTATTTAGGYTTTAAATATGTTTAAATTAACAAYTCRAATTCTCTTTTGCAAATGAAATATAAGTAATGCAAACATTAATTTGCTTTGCCTTGTAGTATTCTGGAATACTGCATTCAAAGATACGTCATTTTCTGCTAAATGCCTTTCTAATACTCCTGTGCAAATGATACCTTTTCCCCAGGCCCAGATACTTAGGGGATATTATTGAACAAATGTCTTTTATAGGATCGAAAAAAAGTGTGGCATTATGTGAAAGAAATTTTTGAAAATGTGCATGGACTATTTCAGAATATGCTTAGTGAATATTAAGCAAACACCTGAAGTTCCTGTGCTGCTGCCTAGAACCAGCACTTCATTACCTATTACGTGCAGTGACTTTGAATTTTTTATTAGGTACTGGTCTCTTAGCCTGTAAGGCTCGTGCATGATGTCTATGAGAGCGATTTCCAGCAGAGCGAAGCCTTATCACAGATCCACCTAAAAGGTAAGGATATTTTTTAATTTTTAGTTCACATGCTGAACAGCTGCCTGCAGAACACCTGCCCACAGAGCAGGAAAGAAATTTGGTTTAAGGGTTGATTATAGATGTCTTACTCATATACAGTGAGTCCAGAAATAGGCATGATGAACTTCAGATAAACCCAGAATATGCAAATGGAGAGAACAATACCAGAATATTTACCCCCTRATTTTGTGCTCCACTCCATTTTTAGTGCATTTTTTTTTCAGGTTGATGAGGACATAGGAGAGAGGCTTATATATACTTCTGATTTATTTAGTTTCTCCCAGATCTGTAGTGTTGATATTTTAAAAAGCAAAGTTGAACTGTGAATCGGGCAGGTAATATATTTAAAAGAATGAATCATTGCTGTTGGCATTCCTCCATTTGCTAAGGAAAATAGTGCTAACATATGTTAATGAGCATTAAGGAAAAAATAGCAAAGCAAGAGGAAATGAAAAATTGAGAAAGGCAACTAATAAGAATGAGAGGAGGAAAGGCACAACTGTAAGGCTAGAGATAGTGAAGGAATGCACTGATTACTTTTTTACTGAAAATGGCTTAAATGGACTTTTGAGAGTGAGTGACCCTATTACAATGCCTTGTGAGTGATAAGTTCTAAGACTATTAGTTTGAGGAATTCAAATCAAGTAATTTAGGGGTAAACATGCCCTAAGAAACCACAGGCTGCAGCATATTGTGGTACACTGATGGTTAAGAGAAGAGAATTTGATAGAAGAGTAGAAGGAGTGACAAACTTTGAAACCCAAGACCAACAAGGACCATCTTGGTCTTCAATTTTCTCATTGGCATCATAAAGATGACAAACTCCATAATAGGAGTTCTTGCTTTTTCTAATAGAAATCTTCTCTTGGACTTTCTTTTAGAAATTTATTTACTTTTCCAATCTATTTTTTTCATTTCCAATTTATAAATAACTTGTGCCAAAATTTGCATCTTGATTGGTAACTGTCTTTCAGCCTGATGCTTTACTTTTCAGAACTTATTGCCATTTCTTCTTTAGCCAGTCCTTATCCACCTTGCAATTTCGCTGCCTGCCTCTGTGTCTTCAGGTTTTAACTAACCTTTTCACATGTGGTGTTTTATAAAATACCTTGCTGAAATCCAGATGGCTATTTCCTCAAGCACATCATTCACGTTATTTTAAAAAAGCTTTCGGTTTAGTCTTCCTACAATTATTATTTGTTATATTCTAAAGCTGAAATATGTCTCCTTTTCTTGTTCATATGAAAACAGAGCTGTTGGTGATGGTGTAATGAGATATTGCTCTTGCAAAGGGAAAGCCTTGTCACCCACACTTTCTGAACAGTGAATTTGGGTCATGCTATTTCAAAAAATGTTTTCTTGAGAGCAGTCTCTTTTTTGATAATGGGGCCTTAATCCATTCCCCAATTAGAGTGAGCGTGCATATCATGACAAATCTTTCCTCCATTAAAATCGTTTGCTATCCTAAAAATGAATTAGCTGAATCAATATAYGCTTCCCGAGGTTTCCCTGAGGAGMCTGGAGCAGCTGCTTGAGCAGCAAGTGCTGCCTGAACAGTCAGACACCAAGGCAATGAGGCCACCTCTGGTGTCACCAGGGAGCAGGAAACAGACCCTTGTAGGGAACTGGGGAAAACGGTCACTCATGGGTACCACGGTTTTGCTGAGGCAAAACCAAGAATCAGATATGACTATCAGAACTGGCAAAGCTGTGCACTCCTGGAAATGTGTAATAGTAACACAGACTCCAAGAGAGCAAGATGAGAAAGAGCGCACATGTCGTTTCTGATGTGTCACGCTCCCCTACATACTTGAACTTCTTGAACAGCTGTGTAGAGACTTATCTTCAATTAATTCATTAGATTAATATGTTCTCAAGGCTAGTTTGTGATTAAATTTCTTACTATTTGGCTTCTTATGCTTGCTGGATATCATAATAACAATGCTGAAGCCGGAGCCTCATTTAATAATGACCATATTCTCCACTTCTTTTTCTGAAGACTTCTTTTTCTGCAATGCTGCACAGAATAGGAAAAACAAGGTCAAAAGAAGAGTCATATATAAATAAGTTGAAAAAAATGGAGCTGGATGCTTTCAATGGGCTTAGTTTGCACAAATTAACAGGTGTAGAATATACTGATTTTTTTTTTAAATTTTCTTTTTCTGAATTCAACTAGAAAAAATAATGCCATGGAACAAGTGATTTTTAAAATTGTAAAATATTATTGGTAGACTTTTATGGCTTAGTAATTTTCTTATTTTTCTATGAAAATTAATAATTTTAAAGGAAAGACTGTATTAAAACATTAATATTTACATGAAAATTTATTTTCAGCCTCAGAAGATCTGATGGTAGGACTTGATCTGGAATTCTCCATCAAAATTGTTTTTCAATAGAAATAATTCATGCTTTGAAATCAGAACTGGGTGGAATAAATCAAGAGTGGCAGATCTCTAGTTTGAAAATGAATTTGTGACATTTTTTTAATTAGATAATGGAAAGTATAAAGTGAACCGTTTTTTTAAGTGTAGCTTAAAAACCTCTTTGGTCGTAATTATTAGCTAGCTTATACTAAATATTACAAAATCAATAGAAAAACATTTGGAATGTTTTAAAATTACTGACTATATGCATATATCAGCTGATGTTTCAACATGTCTCCTTAACCAGTATATTTTAGTGTTTACATGAGAGTTTAATTCAGGAAGCAGCTGAAGTAATTTCTATTTGTATGGCAGGGGTACACACTTGTAGCCAAGTTGCAGATTTGTGTATTGTGAAATGACTGAAGATGGTTACGAAAATCTTGGTTGGTTGACTTATGATGGCTACTTTTATCAGCAAATAATATGATTTTCAGTATATGACACTGTTTCCTTCTTACGCATTTTTTTTCATTATCAAATTGAGGGTGCATTTAAATATCAAGGCTGTATTGGTKTTCTTGGTAGTCATTTGAGCTGTTAGGATTGTACTTTTATAACAATTGGGTCTTTTCTTAAAGCCTCTTTCTTTGTTCAGCACAACTTTAATGTGTTGGGCATGTCTCCTTTCATCACAGCAGGGRACCCTGTGTATTTGCAGGATGAACTAGTTCCCTATTAGCAATGTGGGATCTGTTTGAGCTTGTTTGCATATGTTGGTAGAGCCTTTTGTCATGGTAAGTGTCAAGGAATTCTGTCAGCAATAGCATTTTTTTTCCTCAACAGTTAGTTCGTATCCTGTAAATATCCTCTCCCATTAAGCCTAAATTCTGTTTTTATTGTCTATGAATATAGGAGATGTTGATAATAGCACAAAAATAAACTCATCTGGAAATTAATGGCTTGTGTTGATAAGTGAAATACCAATGATGTAACTCATATTTTGCTCCTTAAAAGAGAATCTCCCATGGTTGTTSTGTTGAAAGCTTTTAGGGATGTTTTGAATATGTGTGTGTAAGAGTTTTTTCAGGGAGTTGGATCTGTGAAAGCACTTASACAGTGTGAKTCTTGTTGCATACTTGAAGTTTAATATGAGGAGAACTTCAGTGGGWATCTATCAGAGCAGGTCAGGTGCCMGGGCTCCTTCTCTAATGCCTGATAAGGGAACTTGTGCATTCCAGGGAAAGCACATCAGGGAACTTTGTGCTCTGAGAATTGAAGTCAGATTTAGGTAACAAAGCCTTAACCTTGACTGGTTTAGTATAGCTTTAGATGCATGGAAGCAGGACCCTAGGCAACTTAGGAGTATTAATGATAAAAGTTTACATATTTATGTATATATTTTTATGTCTTTGATTAACTTACCGGTATTTGATCCAAGTCCCACTTCAGATGCCTCACTTGTTTTGTAAATTTTACTCTTTCATTCTTATTTTATCGAAACATTCTTGTTGATATAAATTATCGCTTTAGAATACTTTTTGATTTATCATAAGAACAATCTTGGCTATTTTACTTGTGAATGTTATACTGTGCACATTAGAGGTTATAAAGATGAGAGTGAATATTTTGTTATTTCTGTAGAAAAACTAATTTTCTAATTTGATTTTTATCTTGCCTAAAGGAAGCCGCACTGCATTGTAGCCATACTACAAACTCCTTTTGATTTCATGGCATTTTTAAGGTTAATCTTATCTGTAAAAAGAATAATAATTGATCTTAGACTCAATTTTACCTGGGAAGGACAGGAGTGAATATGCAGGGAGGCTGTTTGGAACCTACACTATTCTGTGCCAAAGACCAGCAAAGAAATAATTTACCTAGGAAGATATTTTTTTAAGAAACCTGCCAACAAGCTTTTTCCTTGCTATAGGGTTCACATTTAAACTGTTYGCAATGTTGACTTTTGGCCAACAATGTCTCTTTCTCCTTCTTTGATGGAAAGAAACAGCTCAGTAATAAAATACACTAATTTCTTTGTCTTTCACATTCATGTCTGAGGAGACATGCAATTTATAGAAGAAAATTACAAATCACATTATGAACTGCTTAAGAACTTCAAGAAAAAAAAACAACTTCTGCAAGAAAACATGAAAAAAGTACATATGGACAGATAATTTTTCAGAATTTTAGGCATAATATTTCCTTTTTTTTTTTGAAATGGACATATAAAAATATGTGAATATCTGTGATATCTCATGGAAGAAGTATTAAAATGGAATGGTGATTTCCATCATGAAAGCAGAAGGAAGTTTTTTTGTAAGGTCAAAAGAAGATGGGAATATTTCTTACCTGGACTATTTGAAGGAAAGTCTGTGACTGCATCCAAACTGTTACTAATCTAAATACAATTTCACCAGCTTTTGCCTTATAAAGTATGTGATTTAATCACATTAATAATGTGTGTTGGTAAGGAATTCTGAGGAAGTGGATATAAAATGGTCTTTCTTATAGCATGACTATTTTGAAGTCATGGGGCTTTGAARTGGCTGTGCCTGAGCTTTCTGAAGTATAGCTGGAATATGCTCATTTGAAGCACAAGGTTCMTAACATGGG